GAACTTTGAGGCCTAAAGGGAAAGACAAGCACCTAGGGTAGACAGTGTTAATATAATGTGGTCAATACAGTGATACATTTATGCACAATATGCTCTGATAAGACGCCACTCAGTCCACACTTAGCATAGTCCAGAAGTAGGTTAGAAAAAGAAGTTAGGGTTATTACACTGAATGAAAGATACTTGAGTTAGATCTTAAAAGAAAGAAAATGGTAAGGTAAATAACAGGGAAAGAACATTTAAGACAAGGGAACAAATAGGAGGAGCAATGGACTGAGCAGGAAACAGTCTGGTGTACGGTAAAAGCAGTGAGGTGTGGGTCACCACAAGTAGGTTATATTAAAATGTAAGGATAAAGATGATGAAGGTTGGGAGAGGAGGCTGACAAAGTATAGGCCAGTACAAAGGCACTAGAGTGCTATGAAAACCTTCTTAAACTTTATCTTGGAAGTCACAGGGACCCAATGTTAAGCAGAATGACACATAATCACATTTTACATTAGTCACCCTGTCAGTAATGTGGTGGCTGAATCTAAGAGGGGCAAGATTGGAGGTATGGAGAGCAGTTAGGAGGCTACTGCAGGCAAGAAATAGTGAGGACCTGAAGTAACAAGTAACTTCTAACGAAATTCCCTTTGATCACAGTGCAGCAAAAGAATAAAAAACTTATGCAACAACATATATATGAACATATATGTATAATTTTATATATCATATTTTACATATTCTTATATATAAATACTTTTTGCTATATTACAAATTACCTTTTTCTACATTAATCAAAAGGACACAGAAAGTCACAAAACAAAAAGAAAAACAGGCTAAAATTCAAAGCAGGACTTCCAGTCAAGAGGCAGCATAGGCAAACACGGCTCACTTCCTCACACAACCACATCAAAATTGCAACTAAAATGCATAACGACCATCACTCAGAACCATCAGAAATTGAGTTGAATGGAAGTCTGACAACTATGGAATTACAGAAACCACACCCATCCAGACTGGTAGGAGGGATGGAGACATGGAATGGTCTGGACCCACACCCATGTGTGATGGATAAAAATTTGGGAGGGATATCTCAGCAGCAAGGAGTCTCAGCACCACATTGGGCCCCCCAGCCAAGGGTTCTAGTGCCAGAAATAAGTTCCCACAACTTTCGGCTACAAAAACCAGCAGGGATTGAGTCAGTGGAAGAAACTTCTGGAGTCCCAAGCAGTTCCCCTTAAAGAACCATGCATAGACTTACTCAGACTCCAGCACCAGGGTAGCAGTTTGAAAGGCACCAGTGGCATACAGGGAGGAACTGAAGTATCTGGATCAAGGCAGGAGCCGGAGGACTGTTTTCTCTCAGAAAGAAAGGTGGGCAGAGACAACTGTCCCTTTTCTGAACCTTCACAGCACAGAGACACAAAGTTGACAGGCTAGTGCCATATCTGAGACTCCATCAACCTAACACTGTTTGCCCCACCATGGAGATCCCCTGAGACTCTGTACCAGCCAACCTATGGGTCCAACCAAACTGTTAACTATGACTTTTCCATATGAATGGTTGGTCTTGGCTCATGCTTAACAACTTCTTAAATCCTATCAAACAAACAAGAGTTGGCCTCAGTGAACCCCCAGGCCCCCGTACCTCTTGCTAAGTGGCCCCAAGCTGCGTACTAGCAGGAGCCAGCCTAGATTCACTGTTTGGCTTTGCCTGGCAATCTCTAAGCCCTCTCAGTTGCTATATAGCTCATGCAGGGTGGCCCTGGGCAGAACACAGGAGGGGGCACCTTGGCCTGCACCACCCCAGAAATCCCAGAGCCTGTACACTCAGTGGACAACTATAGCTATTGACCACATCAGAGCACTACCATCCTGCCCCTGCACAGCTGACCCTCCACAAAGGCTGGAGGTTGGTGGTCAGTGGTCCCAGCCAGTCTTTGCAGGTGACTGGCCTGGGTAAATCCCTCCTATTGACCTGCCAATAGCAATCAAGGTTCAACTATAAGAGGAGGGTATGCTCAGCCCACACAGAGGGGGTACCTTGAACACCCAGCTTCAGTGACCGGGGAGGCTGTGCCATTGGACCTTGCAGGATACCTAATATATTAGGCCACACTACCAAAACAGAGTCATAGCAGCTCTACCTAATGCATACAACAAACATAGAGAGGCTATCAAAATAAGGATACAAAGAAACACAGCCCAAATGAAAGGACAGATCAAAAGTCCAGAAAAAGAACTAAACAAAATGGAGATAAGCAATCTATCAGATGCAGAGTTCAAAATACTGGTTATAAGGATGCTCAAGGAACTTAGTGAGAATCCCAACAGCATAAGAAAGATCCACTCAGAAAATGAAGGATACAATAAGTGAAAAAATAATTTACATGGAAAAAGAATGGATAAAGCTGATAATCACATCAATTATTTAGAACATAAAGAAGCAAGGAACAACCAATCAAAACAAGAAGAAGAAAAAGGAGTCCAAAAATGAGAATAGTGTAAGTAGCCTCTGGGACAACTTGAAGAAGTCCAACATTTGTATCATGGGGTGCCAGAAGGAGAAGAGAATACGAAATTGGAAATCTATCTGAAACAATAATGAAAGAAAACTTCCCTAATTTGGTGAAGGAAATAAGCATGCAAGTCCAGGAAGCACAGAGAGTCCCAAACAAGATGGAAGAAAAGAAGCCCACACCAGGAGACATCATAATTAAAATGGCAAAGGTTAAAGATAAAGAGAAAATCTTAAAAGCAGCAAGAGAAAAGCAGTTAGTTACCTACAGGAGCGTCCTCATAAGATGGTCAGCTTATTTCTTAAAAGAAACTTTGCAGGCTAGAAGGGATTGGCAAGAAATATTTAAAGTCATGAAAAGCAGGGACCTACAGCCAAAATTGCTCTACTCAGCAAAACTATCATTTAGAATCAAAGGGCAGATAAAGCCCTTCCCAGACAAGAAAAAACTAAAAGAGTTCATCATCCCCAAACCATTATTGTATGAAATGTTAAAGGGATCAATTTAAGAAAAAGAAGATCCAAACTACGAACAATAAAATGGCAATAAATACATATCTATCAACAATTGAATCTAAAAAACAAACTAAACGAAGGAGAGTAACAGAGACAGAATCATGGATACGGAGAGCATTTTGAGGGCTGCCAGACTGGAGGGGGTGTCAGGGAAATGGGTAAGAGGTGAAGGGGTTAAGAAGTACCAATAGGTAGTTATAGAATAGCTATGGCAATGTAAAGTACAGTATAGGAAATGGAGTAGTCAAAGAACTTATACACATGACCCACGGACATGGACAATGGTGTAGGGATGGCCTGAGAGAGTGGAGGTGCTGGATGGAGGGGGGACAAAGAGGGAAAAATTGGGAAAACTGTAATAGTAATATCAATAAAAATAATTTAAATACATAAAAAGAAATAAAATTCAAAGCATTCTATTAATCTTAGAACTAGCAATTAATAATTGTTACCCCCATATAAATTATTTTACTAAAAAAATGGAATATTACTAGAAATTTAAATTTGTAAAGAGGAAAATTATTTAAAATATATCCTATAAAGTATCTAAAATAAAAAACACTATCAAATTTCACAGAAAAACTTAAGATATTAGTAAAGAAAATCTAGAATACTACATCTACAGAAATTAAAAGCAATAAGGAAAGAAAATAACATGATCTTAGTCTAACATTGTGAGCTTACCTAGCCATGTATACCATTTAATATGCATAAACCTTAGACAGGATGATTATATTCATTTTGCAGATGAGAAAATGAAATCTCAGGTAAATTCACTTACCTAATAACTGGGCTGTAAAGTTTGTCTGTTTTAAAGGCATTAGTAGGCATTTATAAATAAAACTGTAAGCATTTCATAAGAATATACTTGTTTCACAAATGCAGAACTTCGTATCAGAAACTCAAGATTTAGATTTGGGCAACAGAATTAAAACTTTTGGGTCAAAATTAACTTGGTTTATATTTAGACTTTACCCCTTACGAGCTGTGGCAATTTGAATAACTTCTCTGAGCTTCAACAAGTATGAAGGAGGTTACAAGGCTTCAAAGGGTTTTGTAAACATCAGGTAAGTAATCAATTAGTAGTAGCTAGTTCTATTGTTCATAAATAAAGAAAACATAAATAATATACTGCATTTAAAATTGAAGTAAACATTTTTTGAAATGGAATACTCTTTTTCCTGGCTAGGAATGTTCCTTTAGCCATAACAGATATACATATACAAGCACACTGTTTATGACACAACACCTAACTCATAAAAATATACAGTCAATTCTTGATAATCCAAGAGCATACTATCTGGTTTGCAATTAATCTATGATTAAAGTACCATGAGAAACCCAACTTTCTCTCCTTTACTACAGAGAAGCTGGCTAAGAAACTATAATACCCAACTTCTTCCCCTGACTATACTTATACTATAGATCCTAAATCCCCACCACAGAATTTCTACTTGTTTAAATCCCAAGCTTCCCCAAGTGTTCTGGTTCCTGTCGTGGCTCTTCAAATCCCACTGCTAGAAAATGTTGGAAAATTTTCAGAAAAATCAGTACTTGCTACCTCATTACTGGGTTCCCTAGAAAATTATTTCTTTCTGGATTATTTGTGACTTGATCCTCACTCCCTCCCCAACTCTACCAGTTAACCAGGTTAATTAATAATTGACTATATTGAGAAAGTATAACTTAGAAATCTCTAACAACCTGAAACCATTTTACTTCATTTTTTAAAAATGAAATACATGTCACATCATTATATAATCATTTAAAAGTTATTCCAAGTTTTAATTCGGTTTAAATAATTTAATATTAATTATAATGTTTAATATTATAGTTTAGTATTTTAGTAGTTAATGTGAGTGATGTCATAAAGAATTACATAATAAATCCCAGGTAAATAGTCACTGAGGCTCAAATTAACACTGTATCAATACTGCTATGCAACTGTTAATATACTTTATAAAAATACCAGAAAAATTACCTTGGTGTTCTTCTAAGTCCATATCAAGTTGTCTAATTTCTTCATTAAATTGATTTATTTTTTCTTTTAAATCTGTTAACCTGTTGAAAATGTTATTTAATACATTTATGACAGATAATATAGATATTTGGTGAAAATATTCAATGATTATATTAGAAAATCTTCAATATATTCTAAGCTGCATATATAATATCTAGAAATAATAAGCCCTATTCTGTTAGTACTACAAATTTAGAGAGAAATTTTTTTCTAGATCTTTTTTTCATGATTCACATTTGAACTACAAATATATTCTGAGAATGTTAGGTTGTCTAACTTCAAGAGCAGACTCTTCCTCCAATTTTTTTTTAGCTTGCCTTAAAACATTAAGTAAAAAAATATTTAATAACTTTCTTGTTTTAGGTTTGCTTAAACTGAACTAAGTTGGAAAATTAGTCTCAAAAATTGGAAAATAAGTGAAAATTTACCACTAACAGAAGATAATATGGGTTAAAATTCTAGCAAAAAGCAGTTGTACTTATTATGAAACTATAGTAATCATAACAGTGTGGTACTGGAATAAGAACAGATGTATATATACACATATATACACATATATATGTATAAATGAAATAGAATTGTGAGTCCAGAAATAAGACCTTATATCTACATATAATTGAATTTTCTCTAATTCTCGCCCAAGGATTTTTTTAAATTGATTTTAGAGAGAAAGGAAGGGAGAAAGAGAGAAATACTGGTATGAGAGGGAAACACCCACCAGTTTGCTTCCACATGTGCACCGACTGAGGATCAAACCTATAATCTAGGTATGTGCCCTGACTGGGAATGGAATCTGCAACCTTTTGGTGTATGAAACAACATTCCAACCAACTGATCCGTCTGGCCAGGGCTATATTTGATTTTTGACAAAGGTGTAAGACAATTACATGGGGAAGGAATAATAATATTTCTAAAAGAGTATTTCAACAAATGGTGCCTGGACAACTGGATATGAACAACAAAAGAATAAAGCTGGACTCCTACCTTACACCATATACAGAAGTTAACTCAAAATGAATCATACATCTAAATGTAAGAACTAAATTATAAAACTCAGAATAAAACATAAGCATAAATCTCTGTGACTTTGGACTAGGCACTGGTTTCTTAGATATGACACCAAAAGCATAAGCAACAAAAGAAAAAAATAAATAAAAGAAACATCACCAGCTTGGCTGGTGTGGCTCAGTGGATTAAGCACAGGCCTGCAAACCAAAGAGTCTCTGGTTGGATTTCCAGTCAGGGCACATGCCGGGGCTGCAGGCCAGGTCCCCAGAAGAGGCAACCATATATTGATGTTTCTCTCCCTCTCTTTCTCCCTCCCTTACCCTCTCTCTCAAAAATAAATAAATAAAATCTTTAAAAACAATAGATATCATCAAAATTTAAAACTTTTATGCTTCTCAAAGGACACATCAAGAAAGTAAAAAGAAAAATCTACAGGTAGGGACAAAATTTTTGCAAATCATCTATCTGTTAAAAGTTTTGTGTCTGGAATAAGTGAAGAACCATTAAAATTTAGTAATAAAGATTAATAACCCAATTAAAAAATAGGCAAAGGATGTGAACAGCATTTCCCTAAACAAGATATACATATGGCCAATGAGTACAGGAAAAGAAGCTCAATATTATTAGTCATCACAGAAATGCAAATCAAAACCATAATGAGGTACTACTTCACACCCACCATGATTACTGTAATCAAAAGGGAGATAAACAAGTGTTGATGAGGACACAGAGAAATTGGAACCTTCATACACTGCTGGCAGAAATGTAAAATGGTGCAGCTGTAATAGAAAATAGCCTGAGAGTTCCTCAAAAAATTAAATATAGAGTTACTATATGAGTCATCAATTCCATATCTAGGTATATACCCAAAAGAAGTAAAAACATACGTCCACACAAAAACTTGTACATGAATTTCATATCAGCATGCTAATAGCCAAAAATGGAAAAAAAATCTAAATGTCCACCAAGAAATGAACAAAAAAATAAATATGGTATATCCACATAATGGAGTATTTGGCAATAAGAAGAAATGAAGTAGTGATATATGGTACAACACAGATGAATCTTGAAAACATTACGCTAAGTGAAATAATCCAGCCACAGGACCACATATTATATGATTCCATTTATATAACATGTCCAGAATAGGCCAATCTAGAGAAACATAAAATAAGAGTGGTTCTCTAGGGCTGGGATGGGGGGATGAGAGGGGTGATGATTAAGGGTGTGGTGTAAAATTGGGGTGACTGAACTGTTCTAAAATTAAAATGATCCTACATAATTCTGTAAATATACTAAAAACCTCTGAATTGTAAGTTTTAAATATGTGAATAGTATGAAATAGTTAAAGCTGAAAATAAGATTGAAAGTGCATCAGTATTATCCATATGAACCACAAAAAGTTACTGTAACAATATACACCTCTTGTACATTTAGAATATAATTTAAAAAATGAGAAAGGGATGCAAATGTCCTAGTATAAATGTACTTACTGTCTCTCCATGCTAGCTATTTCCTGATTATCTTCTTTTACCTAAAAAGGCATAAAAAGAAAATATCCATAGTTTTTAAAGAATTACTCACTGTTAGGCTATCTTAAAGAGAATTTCCTGCTAAGGTATGTTGTACTAAAATGTTAAATCTTGTCTCTTTCTTGAAACTTCTTAAAATTCAACCTTTGAATTTAAAAGGAATATCATTAAGGAACTATTCATGAAGTTTTATTTCTCAAAAGAAGGGTGATGACATATTTTTGTATTAATCCACATGGTAACATGAGGTTAACACGTCTTCAGGACTGTACCAATTTGCATAAAAATCTAGGATATAAACCCCAGCACACAGGTAGGGTTGACAGATTTAGCAATCCCACTACATTTGAATTTCAGATAAACAATAAATTTTACTATATATGTGTGTGTATATATATGTATATACGTATATACATATATATACACATATATATCATGCAATATGAAATATATTTATTTCTTTTTTATTATTCTTTGCTTATCTTAAATTCAAATTTATTTATTTTATCTAGCAATCCTATCCCAAGATCACTCCTCTCCTCCCTCCAATGATTTCTTTCCAAGGAACTTCAGAGATTCTACATTTTAATGCCTTTCTAGAATGATTGTAACACTTAAAGAGCTCCTGGGTTGATCCCTAACATCTTCCAAACCCACTGGGTTTGATCCAAGGTCACACAGAAGACCCATTTGTAGGCTCCTAACTGGAGCTATTCCCAAATACATATGCAGGTCTCCTATAGTTAGAGTATTTCAGGATAAATAATAGGCTAATTATAAGTTAGTAATAAATTAAAGCCAGCCTTGGTGTAGTAAGAAAGTTACTGAATACATGTGACATAACCTAATGACACTGTGATTTAATAGAAGATTTTAATTCCATTCACTTCATGGAGGCACTGATAGTAATAACCACAAAAAGTCATTAGCTGTGAGGCACTTCATTTTCTAAATAGGAAGCCCAAAACAAATAATGGAACAGATCTCCAGTAAGATTATCTAATTATTTACTAACTAATAAAGAAGAGTTTTAAGTTTTCCTTATAAAAATCCAAAACATGAAAAAAATAGCCAAAAAATGCATGAACATCATATAAAATTAGAATGTAAGTCAAAAATCAGTTTGTGGGAGGAATGTCTTTTACTAGATTTTCTTGGTCAAGTAGTTCCTATTTAGTGAAGCTCACTTTTTTTTCACTGCTTTTAAGGTAATAAACTTATTGGCTTTCTGTTCAACCTATATGACTTAAATAAAATAAATCAACACATTTATCAAATTCTGACATATTAAAATAAGTTATGTCTGTTTTTTCTACCTGCTTAAGTAATCTCTCTCTCTCTTCCATTGGAGATCCCATGCTTTTGTCTTCAGCAATCATTTGATCTCGATGGGACTCTAACTCATCAAGTTTTTCATGCAGCAATACAGCCTCTTGTTTTACCTGGGAGTGTGCTATTTCCTGAAGGGAACAAAGAAAGAGAAATTATTATTTTATTAAAAACTATTTCAAATAGGTTTCATTTTATAAGAACAAGGACAAATTTAAACCAAGGGCATCATTAAGTAGAGATATCAAGTACTCTAGAGTACTTGATACCTAGAGTGCTCAATAATGCTATAAAACACATTTCTAAACTGGAAGAAAAAAAATCCCTGTATATTTTCATCCTGAGATTCACAAGAAGATGGTAGACTTATTTTATTTTCTAAATATATCTCTACCAATGGGAAGATAATAAAAAATGTCACAATGTATGTGCAACTTTAACCACAATATCCAATTCAAAGAATAGAGAACTGATCTCTAGAGAATCAATTTTCAACATTTTTGTCTCACAGCAGATATAAACTAATTATAAAAATTCTGCAGCACATCAAAAATATATTTTTTGCCAACTTGACAAAAACATGTATAATTTTGGTTTTTATAAACTTAATCTTGCCCTGGCTGGTGTAGCTCAGTGGATTGACCATGGGCCTGTGAACCAAAGTGTCACCGGTTTGATTCCCAGTCAGGGCACATGCCTGGGTTGTGGGCCAGGTCCCCAGTTGGGGGTATATGAGGGGCAACCACACACTGATGTTTCTCTCCTTCTCTTTCTCTTTCCCTTCCCCTCTTTCTAAAAAATAAATAAAATCTTTAAAAAAATAAAAATAAAAATGCAAATTTAATCTTTATGGTGATATAATTTTGATTCATTCACAACAGATGGCTATTATTGTATTGGCTGTTGCCATTTTGTAATTTAACAATGCAAAGGAAAAGAAGTCAGTGTCCCTTACTAAACAGTCAGGTATTACATGTTTTAAAAATCCCTGCAGCACACTGGTTGAAAATGACTGCTTTAGAGGAAAGACATTTTCCCCTGAATAGGTCATGTATATACTTCCCCACAATATTATGAGTGAATTGTATACCCCCCAAAATATATATTGAAATCCTAATCTCCAGTACCTGTAAATGTGACCTAATTTGGAAATGGGGTTTTTGAAGATTTAGACAAGTTACGATGAGTTATTAGGATGGATCTTAATCCAGAATGAGATTTATGTGTTCTTACAGGAGGTAAAGACAGAGACACACAAGGAGAATACTCTGTAATGACACAAGCACAGATTGAAGTGATGCAGCTACGAGTCAGAGAGAATCCCATGGTCTGATCGCCACCACCAGAGGAGAGCAGGGAGGGATTTTATCCAGAGTATCAGAGGGAGCACAGCTCTGCTGACACCTTGATATTATATTGGGTTGCTCAAAAAGTTCATTTTTTTCCCACAAGAAGGTTCTAGCAGTGCTAATTTGTCTTTAACTTCATTTGAAAGAATTTTGTTAGAATACATTGTGACAGAACTTCCGGCCAACATGGAGGTGTAGGTAGACATGAAGTGGCTCCTCGCACAACCAAAATAAAGACAACAACAATTTAGAAACAAAATAACAACCAGAACTGACAGAAAATTGAACTGTGCCCTGGCTGGCATAGCTCAGTGGATTGATCAAAGCATCCCAGGTTCGATTCCCAGTCAGGGCATATGTCTGGGTTGCAGGCCATGGCCCCCAGCAACCACACATTGATGTTCCTCTCTCTCTCTCTCTCTCTCTCTCTCTCTCTCTCTCTCTCTCTCTCTCTCCCTCCCTCCCTCCATTCCCTCTCTAAAAATAAATAAATAAAATCTTTAAAAAAAAGAAACGAAAAGAAAATTGAACCGTATGGAAGTCAGCTAAGGAGTTAAAATAGACACATTCATCCAGACCGGTAGGAAGGGCAGAGTCGGGAAGCTGGGTGGAGAGGGGTCGAGGCACAAAAAGTGGTGGCACTGGAGGCATAAGGCATCCCGGGTGTGCAAGACCACATTGGGTGGACCCTGGGCACACAGGTGGCGGCTGCCAGACACCGGGTGCGGGGTGGCAATGGGCAGACCCAGCGAGGCAGTGATGGTGAAGCGAGGCACTATGCACAAGGCAGCTGGCTGACTGTGCAGTCCCACATCCGCATGCAGATAAACCAGGCAAAATTGGGGAGCGAGACAGACTGTGCAACCAAGGGTCCCAGCGCCAGGAAACAGAGCCTCAGGACACTGATTGAAAACACCTGTGGAGGTTGAGGCGCAGGGAGAGACTCCCAGCCTCACAGGAGAGTTTGTTGGAGACACCCACGGGGTCCTAGAACGTGCACAAGCCCACCCACATGGGATTTAGCACCAGAAAGGCCCAGTTTACTTGGGGGAAGTGGCGGAAGGGACTGACATCCGACAAAGAGCAGAGCAATCGCCATGGTCCCCTGTCGGACCCTGCCCCCACAACCCAGCGTTGAATCTAGCCACGTGCGATACCCCGTCCCTGGTGAACACCTGAGGCTCTGCCCCTCAAATGTAACAGGCATGACAAGACAAAAAAAAAAATGGCCCAAATGGAAGAACAGATCAAAGCTCCACAGCAAATACAACTAAGTGATGAAGAGACAGCCAACCTATCAGATGCACAGTTCAAAGCACTGGTGATTGGGATGCTCACAGAATTGGTTGAATTTGGTTGGAATTTAGATGAAAAAAATGAAGGCTACGCTAAGTGAAATGAAGGAAAATGCAGAGGGAACTAATAGTGATGGGAAGGAAACTGGGACTCAAATCGATGGAGTGGACCAGAAGGAAGAAACAACCAACCAAACAGAAAAGAATGAAGAAATAAGAATTCAAAAAAATGAGGAGAGGCTTAGGAACCTCCAGGACATCTTTAAACATTCCAACATCCAAATTATATGGGTACCAGAAGGGGAAGAGGAAGAGCAACAAATGGAAAAGTTATTTGAACAAATAATAAAGGAGAACTTCCCCAGTCTGGCCAAGGAAATAGACTTCCAGGAAGTCCCAGAAGCTCAGAGAGTCTCAAAGAAGTTGGACCCAAGGAGGAACACACCAAGGCACATCATAATTACATTAGCCAAGATTAAAATGAAGGAGAGAATCCTAGAAGCAGCAAGAGATAAGGAGACAGTAACCCACAAAGGAGTTCCCATCAGACTGTCAGCTGATTTCTCAACAGAGACTTTACAGGCAAGAAGGGGTTGGAAAGAAGTATTCCAAGTCATGAAAGGCAAGGGCCTCCATCCAAGATTGCTCTATCCAGCAGAGCTGTCATTTAGCATGGAAGGGCAGATCAAGTGCTTCTCAGATAAGGTGAAGTTAAAGGAGTTCATCATCACCAAGCCCTTATTTTTGTGAAATGTTAAAGGGACTTATCTAAGAAAAAAGAAGATAAAAACTATGTATAGTAAAATGAGAGCAAACTCACAATTATTAACAACCACAACTAAAACAAAGGCAAAAACAAACTAAGCAAACAACTAGAACAGGAACAGAATCACAGAAATGGAGATCACATGGAGGGTTAGCAACAGGGGAGTGGGAGGAGGAGAGAGGGGGAAAGGGTACAGAGAATAAGTAGCATAGATGGTAGGTAGAAAATAGACAGGGGGAGGGTAAGGACAGTATGGGAAATGTAGAAGCTAAAGAACTTACGACACATGGACATGAACTGGGGGGGGGAATGTGAGTGGGAGAGGGTGTGCAGGGTGGAGGGGAATGAAAGTGGGGAAAGAGGACAACTGTAATAGCATAATCAATAAAATATGTTTTTAAAAAAGGATAGAGAACAGACTGACAGTGACCAGAGGGGAGGGTGGGGAATTTCAGGGTAAAAGGGGAAGGATTTGCAGGAACAAGTATAAAGGACACATGGACAAAAAGAAGAGGAGTGGTCAAAATGGGAGGGGGGTGGGGAGGGCTTGGGGCGTGGGCTGGGGTGGGAGTAAAAGGCAGATATCTGTACTTGAATAATTAAAATAAAATAAAAAGGAAAAAGTTAATGTTTAAAAGCTCATAGGCAAAGGTTATATATATCAGTATTGGATTAACTTCAGGTAAAAAGACATGACAATAAAACACAGATAAAAGAAATGCAAGTATGTTGAGGTATCCCTTTTCTTTTTTTTTAAATATTATTTATTTATTTATTTTTAGAGAGGGAAGGGAGGGAGGGGTGGGAGAGAGAGGGAGAGAGAGAGAGAGAGAGAGAGAGAGAGAAACATCAATGTGGGGTTGCTGGGGGTTATGGCCTGCAACCCAGGCATGTACCCTGGCTGGGAATCGAACCTGCAACACTTTGGTTCGCAGCCCGCGCTCAATCCACTGAGCTACACCAGCCAGGGAGGTATCCCTTTTCATAGCATCTTCCCCTTCATTTTGCTTAACTATCCTATAGATTTGTTCAAGTTGCATCTCCATAAAATCATTCCTTAAGACTCAAGCTCGCATTGGTCCTTCACCTGATTTTTCATACCCCTGTAAACTGAATTAGTAATACTTAGCACAGTATTAGTGAACCACAGTGGATATTCAAATACTAGTTGATTGATATTTGGTATAACGTGTTCTTAAAGAACATGTTAAAAAATATAAGCAATCTGGGAAAAGTTAACGAGAATAGTGACTTATATTTTGATTTGAGAATACTGTAAAAATTCATGTTGTTTGGGCATGTATGTACTGACACCAAAAAAAAGAGTGGCATCAATACAAACACTAAATCTAAGGTTATAGCTTATACCTTTTTCTGTGGAAACTAAATTTGCCAGGAGAAAGAAGACGACTCTCTCCTACATGTCCTAAAAAAATAGTAAGACATTCTGCAAGCTAGCTGCATTAATACTAAATGCTGTCCTTATTCCTTGAAGCATACTTCTATCACTATAGAGATCCAAGAAAATAAAATTTGTGTGTACTCACATAGGGCAATGTGATACAAAAAAAAATCAATACTTTTAAGCAAACTACTTTTAATAGCAAATTTCCAAAATAATGACTACATATTCATTTCTTTTGCAAGCTAGGTGACAACAATCATGTCAATCTACAATTGTTACTAATCTTATCATCATTGTATCCACCAGATTCCATAAGAAATCAGGAAAAGGCAGGCAAAGTTTGAGGTGTAGAGAGTATAGTGAAGTACAAAGGACATTAAAACATAGTTCACAGAGAAAGAAATACATTGAACAACAAATGTATAAAGAGATAACTTCATGCATTAATAAATGAAAATTAAAACATGATAGCAATTTTTTCCTAATAAACCAGCAAAAATGGAAAAGGTGGGTAATGCCTGCTGTCAGTGAGAGCAGGTGAAAATAGGCACTCTCATATTTTGAGTCTAGGAATAGAAAATGCAACAACCTTTTTGGAAGGCAATTTGGCAATCTCACAACATTTTAGAAGTATGTAATTTCAACCCATTACAAAAATTTACCTTAAGATATGCTCATATAATTTTGTATAAAATGGATGTTTTCACTGAAGCATTATTTATAATCCCCCCAAACTATAAACAACCTATACATTACAAGGCTATATTATAGTCACTCAGTGTAATATAATGCAATAATTTAAAAATAATGCAGGAGCTTTATAAGAGTTATATAAATAGACATTCAAGACAGAATGTTAGGTGGAATAAAAATGCTGCAGATAGCTCTGGCTAAGTAGCTCAACTGGTAGGGCATCATCCTGATATACCAAGGTTGTGGGTTTGATCAAGTCAGGGTACATACAAGATAAAACCAATGAATGCATAAATAAATGGAACAACAAATTTATGTCTTTCTCTCTCAAATCATTTTTAAAAAAGGCTGCAAGTGGAGTATTAAGTATGAATCCCACTTAATGTTTTCCACAACAGTAAACCAAGTTCGGATTATATGATTGTTGTGAAGATTCAATGACAATGCTGATGATATATGTCAAGAAACCAAAAAAGCACACAGGACACAATAAATATAAGAGTAGTTCTCTCTGAAAAGAAGGCAAAAAAAAAAAATCAGGCATTTTTACTTTCATCTTACTCAAATTTTTAAATTTATAAACATGGTTTGTGAATTAAAATTGCTTTAAACAAGCCCTGGCTGGTGTGGCTCAGTGGCTTGAGTGCGGACTGCGAACTAAAGTGTTGCAGGTTCGATTCCCAGTCCGGGTCAGGGTACATGCCTGGGTTGCAGGCCATGGCCCCCAGCAACCGCACATTGGTGTTTCTCTCTCTCTCTCTTTCTTTCTCCCTCCCTTCCCTCTCTAAAAATAAATAGATAAATAAAATCTTTAAAAAAAATTGCTTTAAACAAACAGATAAGAAAATGAATGCAAGCTTTTACATCTATAGAAATTAACTGATCTCTGTTGCTCTTCATTTGTTTTTAGTTCCTTGTTCACGTCTTTAAATGGCTACTAGATTTTATGTGCTGCAGTGGACCAAATTACTTGTTTTGTACCAAGTAGGTACTCAATAACTGAATCTAATTTCTTACTAAATTAGGATAGTTGTGGTCCTGAATGGGAAAAATTTATTATATTTGTGTAAACTGCTAAATAAATATGTATTTGAATGTGTTCTATTAATATGTTTAGCTGAATTATCTTTTATAGCTGAGTAAAATAAGAACCCTTATTTGAGTTTATACTTACAGCTTCTAGGCTCTCTTTTTTCATGTTTAGTGAATCTAGTTGTTGCTGAAGTATATCTAATTCCTAAAAAGAGGGGAAAGAAAGCAAATATATGTACAAGTTATATTAAGAATAAATTTACTTCTGTTTCTCAACATTTCAAATATGTATGCGACAAAGTAAATTTTGTAAACATCTTCAACATGTATCTTGCAATTTGACTAAAATTTATTAACATTCATTTCTATTTTTACCAACTTCTTTCATTATTTCTAAAAATTATGCCATGATTCACCTTTAAAACTACTTCATAAACTTGACAGAGGTAGCCATACTTTTTCACACTGTACCATTATATACTGTAATCATCAGTTTCAGAAGCCTTTAAATTTGTTGTCATTGTTTAAAATTATGATTTTTAATTTTTATTTTTAAGCATGTTTTCATATCTTTTGCCTAATTCCTTTTGAAAATTAATCAATTTATATTTAAAAATTTTATTTTAGTGTAGTAAGAAGACTTAATAATTTCTTTTAGGGCCAAGACCTATAGTATTTTATGTGACTCACTCCTTTATCGGGTAAGATCCTCAAACTAATTATTACTCATTTGAAAACCCCTGTGCAGCATTAACTATATTTTGGCACTTCTGTAATATCCTGTTTTCATTGTTTTATTGTATGTTGTAAATCCCATCTAAAATAAAAGTTATATTAAACTGTCAATGAAGGAATGTCTGAGAAACTAGAACTACTTTCATTGTTGGCATTTGGGGGGACTAATTCTCTGTCAACTGGTTACAGGACACCTGGGCATGAAAGAATACTGTCTTCCAAGTCTGAGTTGCTGGCAAGACTGAATGTTGGGGAGATTCTCAATAAAGAATGAGAATCTTGCCCTGGCTGGCATAGCTCAGTGGATTGAGCATGGGCTGCGAACCAAAGCATCGCAGGTTCAATTCCCAGTCAGGGCACATGCCTGGGTTGCAGGCCACAGCCCCCAGCAACCACACATTGATGTTTCTCTCTCTCTCTTTCTCCCTCCCTTCCCTCTCTAAAAATAAATAAATAAAATCTTAAAAAAAAAGAATGAGAATCTTTACTCTTTCATTATTTGGGTCCATCAGCAGGTACCCAAACTGGTTAAACACCATGATTGGGGGCAACTGCTGTTCAAATCAAGGAAATAGCAGGTAAAAGATCTGCTGCTTATTGGACAGGAAGAGAAGGAAAGAAAGTAAAATATTCATATGACTCAGCTATATGAGGCTTTTTAATGTTGCCATTAAAAGTTTATTTAAAAAACAAGTGTTTTCATATGTTTTTATGACATTCAAAAAATGAAGGATGCACAGAACTAAACAAATTATATAGTAAAAGCCAGGTCAACATGCAGCATAAGAAAATAGTTTTCTAGATCAGTGTTTCTCAATTTAAATGTCCATATGAATCATGTGGAGACCTTGTTAAAATGACGGATTAGTAAGTCTAGTCAAGCTCTCAGGGGATGCTGATGCTGCCCACAGCAGCAAGATTGCTATATGCCTGGCTCAAAGTACTAATTAGTATTACCTGTAATAATTTCTCATTTGTGGTTTTCATTTCTATGTACTTGATTTGTTTTTCAGGAGACATATTTTTGATAATGCCATCTGCTGCTTGCTTTTCCTGTTCAATCTCCTCTTCTACACTTCGAATTTGTTTCTCCTTCCTGAAATCAAAAGTATGCAATATTCCTTACTATACTGAGGGGGAAAAAACCATCAGTTAATTTTACTTATGTGCTGGTCTCAATTAAATAGGGTACTTAAATTCATTCAATCCTAATGCATGATCTAAAAGTCCTTACAGATGTACAAAATAATTCTATGTGACCTGTACATAATGTGGCCCCCATCAGCAGACTTATTTTACATCTTTCTCTTCTCAACCCCTAAATGCTTCTATTTCTTTACTCTCCATTTTACTTACATTCTTGTAAGAAAACATGAAGATTTTCACAGAAAGTCATTAAAGCTTTCTACATATGACGATATATTTACATTTTTTTGCTATCATACTCTCAAAGCAAATTAAGATAGTTAAATATTAGAATAGTTGTTTTCAAACATTTTTAACCACAGAATTATTTGATCAAGTGAAATCTTGTATGGAAGTTTACAATGTAAATCATATAAAGTAGCACAGCTCTCACTGAACTGGAAGTAGGGAGACCTATATTACAATTTGATTTTTTAAAAAGTCATAGCTTTAGATGAACATATTTTGCTTAAATTCCCCATTATTTGCTTTAATTAAAATGATATTCCACATATTATCAACTGTATTTTAGCAAAATAATAATTTCCCCCCAAAGTAATCTTTATTATATAACAACAAGAAATATCATTGATGTGCCTCTTCCTACCCTATGCAAGATCAATTATCAATAGGACAAAAATTCTGAAAAAATAGAAAAGGTAAGATGCTAGTTATCATGTAAATACTTCAAGATCAACATATAAAAAGATTTCCTGAAGATGAATTTTAGTCCCAATGACATAAATTCTATTTTAATTCTATTAAATTATATTTTAATTTTCAAAATATGATTAGCCTACTACTTAATCTCTACTATTCTACTATTTAAATCTACTATCTAACCTCTTTCACATGTAGTCTCTAATTCCCAGTTTTCACAACCACTAGCTAAGGGATACAAATCCACATATTGCCCCCTCAATCTTTACACACTCATACCCTATTAAAATAAAGTAAACTCAGAAATCTTCCTATAAACATATCATAATAATTGAATAATGAACACAAAGAAACAGAGTACCCGGAATTTTTATTTTTGTCTCACTGTAGGACAAGGAGTAGTGTCTTTACCTTAAACCTCAATTACTACAGTGTTTGAGGTTACAAGTATGTTTGCTGCGGCTACAATATATGGGTATATGGGCTCATAGAACTTATAAGCAGAAAAAAATTACTATTTCAATCTTTTTGTTTCATAGATTAAGGATACTAAGGCCTAGAGGAACTAATCTTTTAAAACTAACTCATTCTGAATCCCATGATTACTCACCTCCAATAATGACTCACAACCATGTTTTTGCATGATATATCTCAGTGTAGTTAGATGGGAACTGAGGTACAGTATTCCATTTTTACAGAGGAGAAGTTAACAGCACAAGGAAGGTAACTGACTTTCTGAAGGCCACATAATAGCCAAGTGTCAAATGTTTTGATGTTTTCAGCACTTTGCTCCTGTTACAACTTGGCAGTAAAGCACCAATGGCGGTGTCATAAAAATGAATAAATAACAAAGTAGAAACTCAGAGGACTACTAAACTTGGTGGTATCTTTTCAACTTGTTTCCTTCTAAACACAAAATAACTTTAGGACTAACACTTAAATCACTTTAGCTGTATGTCTTTCAAAGTACGAATTTTCAAAATTATATGCTTTAACTCACAAAGTAAATTTGTTAATATTTAAATTTGTTAAGAGTCATTAAATACAAAGGTTACACAAACCACCTTACTTATTACTTTAAAGAAGTCAAAGATGACTTTAAGAAATTATTCTTCTAGTCAATCTTTTGCTAAGGAAGCCTAGTTTTTGTTTTTTTTTTTAATCCCCTGGTCACTGGGTACAAAGGTTAAAACAAAGTGAAATGCAATCATATGACATACTTTTCTTTTCGATGGTGCAGAAGAAACAGATTAGATTCCTTAGCACACCAGTCTCAGAGAGAAAAAAGGAAAGTTAAGGTAAGTCTTATATTTACAGGTTTGGTGGCTGTTGAATTTTTTTAAAAATCGTATTTGTTTGCTAAATCTGTACAAAACCTTTGCCTTTACTAAGTGATTAAAGAGCTGAAATGTGATTATATTTTCACACACTCTAGAACACAGGTGGCAAACACAAGGCCCACAGGCCAAATCCGGCTCTCCACCTTGTTTTATCCAGCCCCGCACCTTGTCTCTACCCAGCGGCAGCACTGAGCTCCTTCCCCCTCGCTAAGTAGTAGTTACATTTATACAGTCCTAAAATTACATTTGGCTCTTTGAAGGCAAGTGTGAAACTGATGTGGCCCCAGTGAACATTAAACTTAGATTGGACAAAAAATTTTTCCTAAATTACGCTATAATATAATAAAAAGTGATTATTTTTCTTTTTCAATAAAGGTTTCACCTATTCAATCAAATTTATTAAATCATTTTATTTTGAAATATGTTAATCACACAGCATTCTGAAGTGACATTAAATTAAAAAACAAATTTGTATAACAAAAACATACTGGCCACCAGTATGTAATTGTTGAAATTGGTGATGACTATTCTCTTTATTCAGAGGTTTTTTCCTTAAAATTTTCCATTATAAAAGTTTTTAAACTGCAAAAAAATGTATAAAATAGTTAATCACAGGAGTGAAGTTAATCATGAATTAACATTTAACTCCAAAATACACTGATTTTTGGCATAAATATCTAAAATATTTAATGGCAAGACTATATATATTTAACAAAACCAAAATACATCTAGCATACTTTTATTTCATAGTATATAATCATATAAAGAAAATAACCAAAAACTCCTAAGATATTTGAATTTTAAAACTGTACTAAGAACAACACTGTTTCTTTTTCAATATCTACCACTTCCTCTTGGGTAAAGTTTTTTTTCTATGTAGGTTGTAGGCTATGTAAAAGGGCACTTCATTTGTGAAATAATTAAAAGAAACTGATATTCTATATATTCTCTATTTTTTAATCACTAAATTTAAACCCAAATTTCAAAATAAATTTCAAATTGAGAGAAAAATCCTATGGGGGAAAGGTAGTAACAACACTCATCTATTTAAATCAATTTTTTATTAAATGGGGTAAACTAACTTAACAATTTCTTCATCATCAACTGACTCGCTATTCCGTCAATTTGATTTCTTCAAGATAGCCAATAATGCTAGCAAATGTTTTATTCTGTCTGAAGATTTATCCATTCAGTGTCATGGTCAATATCCACCCCTTCTCAATCTTTCCTCTCTCAAAAGATTCACAAATACACAAAATGCCCCATTGAACAGGGGGCTCAATCAATGCGTTTCATGGCTTTAGATTGTTGAATGCTTCTTGCACAGAATCAGCTTAAGCTCTGAGTATATACTTCTTTCACATTTATCAAATAGGAAGAAAAATAATATTTCTTTTCTAATCCTTATAATTTTATCTTTTAACATACTGGAGAAAATAATTATTAGTATTAAATAGATGATAAAGCTAATAAATACAAGAAGATCCTATCTCTATTTCCACATAGGCTACAGTCCTGCCTGACTTCTATTACCTTCTTCAGCTAGTTCTATTCCATATCAACACCTTATTTAAGTTCAGTTAATTTTCCTTGTAGCCGATTTGCTTCCTTTAATGATCACTATTTTACTTATTTCTGAAAAAAAAAGCACTTCTCCTTTACTCATCACTACTTTACACACACCTGCACTCTACCAGAGACACCAGTCAGATGCCTACACCATTGAGAAATACTAAAACAAGCCAATGAAGAGGCTGCACACATTCCTGGAGATCACTAAACATGGGTAAAATGCCTTTATAAATTATTTAGGGACCTCCTTTTGTGAGCAATGGTCTAAAATAAGTGATATCTTGAACTCATTTCTGACTCTAAAAGGGATTCTATTGTGATCTACATTCAAGTTATAAAATCTAGGAGGAATAGTGACTTTTCCTAACAAATTTGATTTAACTACAGAAAGGGAGAAAGTGGAAGGGGAATAAGCATCAGCAGATAAACAACTGAAGGGAAAGAGTACATTAAGTAGAACAGATTAGTATCAAAGTAAGTACCTCATTACTAATGAGGTAACAGACTTCAGTAAAGTATAACAAGTCTTTCTCCTTCTGAGTAGTTTTCTACTTTCTGCTCTGGTAAAATAAACTTTTCCTTAAAAATTAAAAGTAACTAATTGCAACATATGCTGTAAAAAAAGCTCAAAAATAAGACCTGAATTTTAGAAAACCACTAAGGATGACTAACAGGATGTATTCACACCTTTCAAACAGATTATTTTGTTTGCAGCATAGTTTCTAGTGTTGACTTTGAAAACACACATAAAAACAAGAAACATTAACATCATGAGTGGAATCACTAAATGGACATTAACTATTTAGCAAAAAGAATTTACTCAAATAAATGGCAACTTCTAGTGAAAGATGGCATATTGAATGTACCCATTAACAATGACTCCTGACCCAAATCTAAGATATAAATGAAAGGTAGTAAGGAGTATAAGCCCATAAGAGCAAAGAATGAAAGAGGAGGCAAAAGCAATAAAACCTAGAAACCAGAAAGTTAATAGTTAAGTGGAAACTGATTGGGAAAGCTAAATTTTCCCAAGCCAGCAGTGTGGAAAGCTGAGAAGCCACCTTCCTTATACTGCAAAACACCTAAATTGCCCAGAAATTGGCAGCACCAGGTGTTCTGGAAGTACAGAAAGGGGCTAAAACAGTTGAAGGTCTTCTTCCCTGCCTCTGCCCAGTCAGGTAAAGTTTCTCTCCCACACAAACAGAAGATTAAGGCTTTTTCTCTGGAGAGAATAAAACAAAGGGAATCTCAGCACTAAGTATAAGTGAGTGCAGAACTTCTATCCTGAGAAAAGGAAAAATAAGTTAAATACTAATTATTGAGATAAATCCACCTATTTTACCACTCAGCTCTCAAAATGCTGGCCACTTGGCCTTATCAGTTCAAGCAGTGAATCAGAAAAGTCACTTTGGGGAATCCACCTAGCCCAAGAGAAAAGATGTAAAGATAATGACATTTAGGGATTCTCAAAGGAAACAGTTCAATAAGGTTTAAAGTTAATAAGACCTACGCAAGTGCAGTTTTCAATTCGTATTTTTGTTTGTTTCTAGTCTTATCTGTAAGTTCCGAGTCAAATATTAACAGCTATATGAAGACAGAAAGCCTCTAATATAAAGGATACTGGCCAAAATAAAGTGGAAAAGCATAACATGAAGACACACATTTACTATTTAAGTAAAAATAAGAAAAAGATACAAGACAATGAAATAATTTACACCATGGACAGTATTAAAGAAAATTTTTGGAGGGAAAAAGAGCTCTTAGAATTAAAATGATTGGAAAAAGAAAACTTTGAGTTTAAAGACAAAATTGAACATATCTCCTAGAAAGCACAGTAAAAACACACAGAAATGAAATATAGGAGTTAAAATTAAAAATTAAACAATCATGCCAGGAGATCCAACACCCAATTAAAGGAGTTCCAGGAAGAGAAATGATACTTAAAAAAATGAGGAAGAAAATTATCAATATCCTCAGTGAACTAATTCAGAAAATTTCTAAGAACTAAAGGGCATAGATTCCAGATTGAAAGCACCTACCAAATGCCCAGTTTCCTGAATGGAAATAGACTCTCACAAACAATCATGAAATTTCAAAATATTGATTTTAAAAGTTTTGAGGGTTAAGAAGCAAGTTATATAAAGGGATAAAAAATTAGAAAGACAGCATCATAGTTCTTAACAGTAATACTAGACATCCAAAGATAATGGGCAATGTTACCAATAATCTGAGGAAAAATTATTTCCTACTTACAACTTTATTTCTAGCCAAATTATCTTTCAAGGTCTAAAAAATTTCCTGCCTATAGACCTTCTCATGAAGCTATTGCAGGAAACTCCATTTAAAAAAAAAAGGACTATAAATCAAGATAGGGCATTCTAGAAAACAAGAATCCAGTAACAAATACAAAAGGGAATTTCTATGATGAGGAGAGAGAGAGAGAGTGGAAGTCAACAGCTATGTAGAGGGCCTAGTCATCAGCTCATTTAGGTTAAAGTATGGCAGAGGGCTCTGGGAGACATTACTATAAGCAGATGACACAGATTAAATATCTATAGTGCATAAACTATTGAGTAATTTGTTAGGGAAGAGTTTGGGTACAAATTCATTTAAAAGAAAAACTAAGCAGCCCTGGCTGGCATAGCTCAGTGGATTGAGCTCGGGCTTCGAAACAAAGTGTCGCAGGTTCTATTCCCAGTCAGGGCACATGCCTGGGTTGCAGGCCATGACCCCCAGCAACTGCACATTGATGTTTCTCTCTCTCTTTCTCCCTCCCTTCCCTCTCTAAAAATAAATAAATAAAATCTTAAAAAAAATCTTTCCTTAAAAAAAAAACTATGCATATTAAAAGAACAGTACAATTACTTTAGTAAAAAAATATAAGCAGGAACAGAAATGTAATCCTGTTACATAGTTTAATCATTGATAGTGTTTACACATTAGTGATACTCCGAATTCTAATCTAACCCAAATTACAAGTAATTATGTTTGAAGAATGAAGAGAGAGGAGGTTTATATTTGTTGTGTTAGACACAAAGGTGGGGAGTGTTTGAAAAAGCTAAAAACTCTCATCTCCCACACTTATAGGTAAATGGATAATATCAATAAAGAACACCTAAAACTAAAAAGATCAAGAAGTAACAATATAAGAATATACTTAAACACATATACATAAATATATATTCTTCTGGATTTTATTTTGTATACATACATTAAGATTTTAAAGTGTACAACTACTTCAATTGTTTTAAAGTTCCTTTCAGTAGATCAAGGAACTAATGAGACACTAACAATTACTGGCTTTCGCTCCCCATAGGAGCTTTTTAGCTTGTTAAGATTAGAGTACAGGGATGGTGAAGGGACATTTAGTTGTTTCACATTTTCTATATTAAGAAATAAACAGTACTAAAAGAAAAAAGGAAATCAAAATGTCCTCAATAATCTCTAACGTTCTAGTCTCCTACTGAGATTAATATACACTCTTCTGTATCAGGCCTGCAATATGAAAACCACATGCATCCCGATCTTATTCTGGCCCTTCTCCATGCTATTATTATCAGATGAAAGCAAGACTTCTAAAACAGTAAGTTTTTATAATAAAGATAGTGAAAATATTTTCAGAGGTACATTTTAAACATCCAAAAGCAGTAGAAGAAAGTATACTTATACTACTACTACTACTACTACTACTACTACTACTACTAATCTCTTTAGTTAGTTGTGTATATTCCAAATCTCTTATCTCTGAACTAGATTCTAATTTCAGTCTTCATTTTTTTAAACTGACACTGTTAAAAGTTGATTAAAGAAGAAATTTGTAAAATTTCACTATAAAATCAGAGATTAGTTTTGAGACACAAAAACCACTTACTACGTAAAAAATTTTAACGCACTTTTATGAGAAAAAAATAATTTTTTTTGCATTATTATTATTGGGAGAACATTTCAATGGCAAAAACAATCAAAATAATTATTTCTTTGAATCTATATCCACACAAAGAACACTTCTTCAGTTGTCTAGCACTTTAAATTCAATACACAACTCAATTTCTGTTATATTTTCTTTTAAAACACCAAATTTTGATCTATTAAGCCTCTACAGTTATTTATTAAATATTTTTCTTAATTAATAGTATTGGTAGCTCTGCTGATTTTTAGAAAGTACATATTTTGAACAATGTATGGTGTCAGATGGATACCAGGTAGGATGATTACTTTAATTACATAAATTTCTAATCACTATGTTGTATACCTAAAACTAATATAATTTTTATATCAACTGCAATTGAAAAATATTAAAAATAGTAATATCAGATTTTTAAAAATTACATATTTTAAAATTCCTCATTATATATGTCAATCCTGCACATTGAAATACTAAAATAGTTAACTGAATTACTATTCCCCATACATTTCCACACATATAATTGGGAATACACCAACTGGGAATACACCAAGTCTTTCTTTCTGTAATGTTTATATAATACTTAGAAAATAACTGTATGACAAACTAGAATCTCCTTGCTCAAATGTTTCAATATTTCCTTAATCTTTAGCCCAATAAAAAAAAACATTTGCTTTTCCCTTTTCAAATCATCACATTGAGAAATTAGATTTTTTCTAAATGATTCTCTTCCAATATCTAAGAGCCAGGATACAAAAATTTGAATATTCTGTTAATATTTTGATTAATGCATTTCTATTTTTTTCTTTTTTAGGAAGTCAAATGTAATTTCACTGAAAAGAATTATTCTTTTATTCCAGAGGATATCAATAAAAATGTTACTATACTTGATCTCAGTTATAACCAAATTACTCTGAATACTATGGACACAAGTGTTCTAAAGATCTATTGTTTACTCACTGAGCTCTATTTGATTGAGAACAATGTTGTCATATTACGTAATAATAGTTTTGGTAACCTCTCCAACCTGAAAATTTTAAATATCTGTAGAAATTCCATCCATGTAATTCAACAGGGTGCATTTATAGGTTTAAATAAATTAAGACAGTTATATCTCTGCCAAAACAAAATAGTACAACTGAATCCTAATATATTTGTGCCCCTCAAAAATCTGAAACTTCTGAATCTACAAGACAATATGATGAGCTATATAGATGGGCCACCGTTGTTTCATCTGGAATTAATCATTTTAGATGGAAATCCATGGAACTGCTCTTGTACTCTATTAAATTTGCAGAACTGGTTAAACACATCAAATGTGACACTAGGTAAGCAATCATAATTGAAATTAAAACCAAATGTGATTGATTTTTGGTTGTTTCACCTAAAAAAAAGCCTCTTATTTCATTTTTTTCCTTGCAGTATTTGCTTAAATTATATTGTCTATGCCATAACAGTGGTCCCAAATTTTCCACTTATCCCCCTTCTACCCAGAGCCCCTACTCCCTCAGGCGATCCCTACACTACTGTCAGTGTTCATCAGTCCAGCATATGTTCTTTGGCTCCTCTATTTCCTATGCTGTACTTTACATCCCTGTGACTATTCTGTAACTACCAATTTGTATTTTTTAAGTACATTTGATTGATTATTCTATTACAGTTGTCCCATTTTCTCCCCTTTAACCCCTTCTGCCCTGCACCCTCACACTAGCATTCACTTCCCTTTGAATACTTCTTTCCAGCCCCTTCTTGCCTACAAGGTTTCCTCTGAGAAATCAGCTGATGGTCTTATACAAAATCCTTTGTAGATAACTGTCTACTTTTCTCTGGCTGCTTTTAAGATTCTCTCCTTATCTTTAATCTTGCGTAATGTAATTATGATGTGTTTTGGTGTGTTCCTCCTTGGGTCCAATTACTTTGGACTCTCTGGGCTTCCTGGACTTGCATATCTATTTCCTTAACCAAGTTAGGGAAGTTTTCTTTCATTATTTTTTCAAATAGATTTCCAATTTCTTTCTCTTTCTCTTCTCCTTCCAGTATCCCTATTATGTGAATGTTGGTATATTTGAAGTTGTCTCTGAAGCTTCTTACACTATCTTTTTTTAGGGGGGAGGGGGATCTTTCTTGTTCTTGCTGTTCTGATTGTTTTTTGCTTTCTTAACATTCCAAGTTGTAGGTATGATTCTTGGCTTTATCCACTCTCCTTTGATTCCCTGTAAATTGTTCATTACAATTAGTGTATCTTCTGTTTCTGACTAGATCTATTTTATGCTTTTGAGTCCTCACTAAGTTCCTTGAGCATCCTTATAACCAATGTCTTTAACTTTGCTTTTCTCTGTTTTGTTCAGCTTTTTTCTGGAGTTTTGATCTATTCTTTCATTTGGGCTATATTTCTTTGTGTCCTCATTTTGGTAGCCTCCCTGTTTGTTTCCTTGTATTAGGTGGAGTTATTTGCCTCCCAGGCTTGATAAAGTGGCTTAATGTAGTAGGTATCCTGTAGGTTCCAGTGGCACAGCCTCCTGTATTACCTAAGCTGAGTACTCAAGGTGTGCCCACTGTATGAGTTGTGTACGTCCTTCTGTTTTAGTTGAGCTTTAATTGCTGCTGGCACATATGAAGTCACCCACCACCTGTGTTCTGTCCTGGGTCACAGCACTAGCTATAAAGCGATCTGGAGATGGCTGCTACTTGTGCTGGATTTGTAGGTGCCCAGGTGAGGTCACACAGTGGACCAACACCAGCTGCTGCTAATGCCAGGCCTGGGGCAACTTAGTAACAGGTATGGGGCTTACTAAAGCCAGATGCTGCTTGTTTGAGAGAATGCAGGAAAATCTGAAACATGGGCCAAGACAAGCCATTCATATTGAAAAGCCACTACTGGAAACAGCTTCAGTGGACCTAAAAGTCAGGTGGGACAGGGCCTCAGGGAATCATCAGCATGGGCAAACAGTGTAAGCCAAGTTGATGGAGTCTCAGATATGGTGCCTGCCTGCTGGCTAAGTTGGGAGAGGGCTCAGAAAAAGAACAATGTGTTCTGCCAGCACTTCTGTCTGAAAGAAAGCTTCTTCCCAGCTCTTGCTTTGATTCCAGATAATTTACTTCCTCCCCATATGTCTCTGATGCCTTTCAATCTGCTGACCCAGCAACTGGAGCTCAGAGGGAGTAATTTCAATTAAGTCTTTGCATGGACCCTTTAGGAGGAACTGTCTGGGATTCTAGCAGTTACTGTCTTCCAAAGTCTCAATCCCTGCTGGTTTTTATAGCCAGAAGTTACACAGACCTACCTTCCTGGCACTGGAAACCTGGGTTGGGGGGCCTTGTGTGGTGCTGGGACCCCTCACTCCTGAGATATCCCTCCTTTTTATCAGTCATCATGGGTGGTACACCAGGCTGTTCCATGCTTCTTCCCCTTCTACCAGTCTCGATATGACTTCTTTTTTTTAAAGAAGGGAAAGCCCATTTCTTTCTCTCTTTTTTAAGATTTTATTTATTTATTTATTTATTTGAGAGGGGAAGGGAGGGAGAAAGAGAGAGAGAGAGTAACATCAATGTGTGGTTGCTTCTCATATGACTCCCACTGGGGACCTGGCCTGCAACCTAGGAATGTGCCCTGACTGGGAATCGAACCTGCAATGTTTTGGTTCGCAGCCCGCGCTCAATTCACTGAGCTATGCCAGCCAGGACGTGACTTCTTTTTTAATTCTGTAGTTGTAGGACTTCCATTCAACCCAATTTCTGATGGTTCTGAATATGGTTGTTCTATAGTTTAGTTACAATTTTGATGTGGTTATGCAAGGAGGTGAGCCGTGTTTACCTATGCCACCATCTTGACCAGAAGAGTCATTTCATTTTTAAAGAAAAGGAAACTACTAGTGCTTAAGGGAAACAGGAAGAAACACTGAAAAGTAATTATTGAACAGATACTCTCCCTTTGCCTTTCCAGAAAAAAAAGAAAGAAAATAAGAAATTTGTGTTCTACATATGTGAAGTGATACTGTCCTTCACACAATAAGTTTACATTTTCAATACTTGAGAATAATTTTTTCAAGTACTTGCTTTTCTTAGGATATCCTGCTAGAGAGCAGGTGAAAACAGGTACCCTTTGTTAACTGCAAGTGATGCTCTGCCTGAGATCCAGGCTTTTCCAACACAATCTTATTCAGAACATCTTTACTAACATAAACTAAGTAATAAACAGATACTGAATTTCAATTACATTTATAAAATAACTTTATGAACAGGATTGTGCATCTCTTCTTTGTGTTGCTAGGTAACATATGAGTTACTTTCTTACAGTATCTAATAATCCCATATGTCAAAAAAAGTTTGTAAAAAATAATTATAAAATGTTAACCATAATTTCATTTTCCATAATAAATCTGAATTTATTCCTTTTGATTTACTAGAAAATGAGAACATCACCACGTGCAGCTACCCAGATATCCTTAAGTGCTACAGTATCAAAACAGTACCTTATAATACTGACTGCTACTCAACATTTCCTTTACCTGTAATGGAGGACCTTTATATTAATTTCCAGTCCATTAGCAATTCAACATTTAATAGCTCTTTGAAGAACTTAACAAATTCAGGTAATGTACTGGTTTTGAATATTAATGTAGCTGAAGATAGCATACTAAATAAACTAAGGTAGTGCTCATTATTTTTCTACATAATAAGTTACTAAAAACAATGTAAAAGTACAATTCCTCATCTCAACAAAAGATTTACAAAATACTCAGTTTTCAAAGTAGGCTCTGCTAGTTACCAGCGAAATGCTACTAGGCAAATTATTTAACTTCTCAGCCTTAATTTTAATTAGTCAAGTCACAGTTCTTAACAGGTATAAAGCAACAGTGTTCCTAGGTGAATGGATAAACAATACCTGCAAAGACAGGATTTATTTAGAAAAAAAGGTATTCTTTTATCACTGTATGAAATATACTTATGTTGTAGTTTTAGTGACTTTCACTTAAGGAAAAGTATAAGGTACATTCATTTCTAATACCAATATTGGGGAGTTATTGGGATATGTAATTTTTTTTGTTAATTTAACAAAATGTCTCCCCTCTCTCATTTTCCCTCTCTCTCCCATTTAAGAACATGAACCTCCTGGAAAAAGCTGGGCTTTTCTTGTTGGTGTTGTAGTAACTGTACTGATGACTTCACTCCTCATTTTTGTTGCTATCAAATGCCCAATATGGTATAATTTCCTGCTTAGTTACAATCATCATCGCCTGGAAGAGCATGAAGAAGAAACCTATGAAGATGATTTTATTGAAAATTCAAGTTCTCTTTCACAGATACGAGATCCAATCTCCGAAGATACTACAGTAACATTTGAACAACTAAATTCATTTGCAGTAGATGATGATGGGTTTATTGAAGACAAATATATAGATACTCATGAATTATGTGAAGAAAATTAACTTCAATGTTTGATTCTATAAAAAAATGTTATCAATTCACTCCCAGTTTAAACATGGAGATTTTCACATATAACATAGCAAACTATTGCTAGTAGACCTTCATATTACTTGCAACATTCATAAATATCATAAAATTATGTTTTTCTAGTTGTTATTGAAAAAGTCCAAACACAGTGACTGACACTTCTCAGTAGCTAACAGTTAAAATACTAGCATTACTATTGTCAGCAGTTGTCAGAAGACCATAAATACTAGTAAAAATGATACCTAAAATAAATATTCATGATTTAAAATAAAGTGTTTCTCATATTACAAGATATTTGATATAATTCAATCAGAGTAAGGAACAGAAATACCTAAAAATGACAATATGCTTGGATTCACTTTTTTATGTTCAGAGAATGAATTCATAGAATGGAAAAACATTTTTTAAACGCTTCCAGAATTAGCACAATAAATTTCCTGAAAATTTAGTAGCAATTTAAAGCACAGCACAATGTCTGGGGCACAATCCCTAATAACTTACTACTAATTGTGTTATACAGAAACATTGTCACCATAATGCAGAATTGTCACAATTGAATAGTATGATGGCTTCCTAAGTGGGTATCATAATTATCTATAAATCTCATTTTTAAAAAATACATATTTCTGCCTTTCTTCAAGGGATTTTTATTCAAATGAGTCTGTTCTATGACTAAGAAATCTTCCGATGTCCATGAACAGTTGTTTGGGATCCTAAAGATGAAGGAATTTTTCCCAAATTGTTTTCTAGAACATTAATTTCCATAGAGACATTGAGAAGTATTTATGGGGGGAAAAAGATACCTGATCAAATTACTACAGGAGATACTGGGTTTAAACAAACTGAAACAAGATTCTTTACTATAAGATTTATCTGAAGCTTTACTAAGCCTAACTACTCTCCACTTTTCAAAAGGAAAGTATCAAGAATTTTCCAACCTTACCTGACAACCAAATTCTTTCTTCAAGGGATGCCTACTAAGAGGTCATAGCACAATAAGGGTCCAAAGAATATAGTTTGGAAAACACTGGCCTTAAGACTATTATAGAAGAGTCTAAAAGTAAATTATTTGCCAGTTCCTTATAATCAATTGTCTGTAACATAATTTTATTGAATTAATGCAAACAGTGACATTAAAAACTGTAACAAACTTTATCATATGTAGGAAGGTTAAATGTATTTCTCTATATCTTTTATAGGAAAGTTTCTCTGAAACACTAAAATATATTTATGGGTGAAATGATATTTTAGATTTTCATCATAAAACAGAAAAGGGACCAATGACTAAAGGTGTGGATGGAACAGGGTTGGATATGAACTGATGGAGCTAGAACATGGGTACATAGGATTATAGTACACTTTTATTTTTGAGTGTGTTCAAATTTCTCTATAATACAGTTTTTAAAATGTATATCTACTTGGTACTTCTTTAGGGAAAAAGAGACTAAAAATAATGTAGATATAGTCAATTCTGCAGAATAGTCATTTTAAGGGTCATATCAATACTAAATTCAGTTCAAATGTGTATCAAGGAAAATAAAAACTGTTTAGGATGATATACTTGTGAAATAGAAAAACAAACTCATTTATCATGCAAATTTACTTGTGTTTATTGAAACTTGTTTTCAATAAAGAATATAAGTACTTTACATGTAATATTTCCTAACAGATATTAACAATTACAGTTCACTGTTTTCTATCTCAATTATGAGATAACTGAAATATGAGGCATCTTTTCCTGAATAATCTATCATTTTATCAAAATATTTCATAATTTAAGAAGCAAATATTAATATTTAAGGAGCAGAGTAAAATGAAATATAATTATAAATCAGCAAAGACTAAATTAATCTCTTATATTCAATTTGTACTTATATTACAAATGAGTATTGGGTATTTGATAAATTTCTAACTAAACAAAATAAATAAATAAATGGGTTTAAAATTCAATTACATATGTTTTTAAAAGATAACTGATTTTAACTAATACCAAAGTAGAAAAGTATAGACATCATAACTAGAAGAGAATCTTTAGTTCATGCAGCTTTGTGAAACTGAATTAAAACCAAGTGTCTAAGTATTTCAGTAATATATTGAGGCTATATATTATAACAAACTTATTATCAATAGGTGTTCTATAATAAACCAGATGGTCATACAACACTAAATGATGGCACTAAAATAGAAGAGAATGAAAACAGAAGTTTTTACACTTGCCTTTGCTAGTATGGCATTTCCTGCTCCCTTTGAATGAGGAGTGTCAAGTAGATGCTTGTGTTACTGAGATTTTGCTTATCTGATTAACACATAAAAAAAATCTATGCTCCTGATGAACAGAAAAGTAAACATCATAAAAATAACTTTTGTTGTTAATTTAAATTCTTCTTAAAAGGGTCAGGAGAACACATTTTACTCAGCCTCAGACATTAAGTTTAAAATTGCTGACATTTTCAGGACAAACTATCATATTTTAACAACTTTTTAACCAAATGAACCAAATACACATAAAAACCTATGACATTCTCATACTTATAATCTGTGATTTATTTTATTGGATGAAATATCTATGAAACATGTACATATAATATTTACAAGTCTGACCTGGGTATTATATAACTTTGTAGTAAATAATGAATAAATGAGGACCTAAATGTTATAAATGCTATAAAATCTTCAATGTGGTATAGCTTATTCTTATTCTTTAGGTACCTAGGAGAGTATACACAATAAATGATAAGCATTTACCCTAAATTGTTGAAAACCAGAAAGACAACTACAACAAAAAGGAAAGTTTTCAAGTAAAGAGCTTATTCACATGAATATGGAATTTTCTTTGTAAAAGGGAAGAACCTTCTAGTATGTGTTAAGGCAGCACTTTACAGCAGCACCAAATGATAACTGAAGAGCAATTTCTGTTTTTTATCAACACAAGAATTATATTGACCTTTCAAATGTTTTATCATTATATTTTAACATCCTATTCTTCATCAAATATTTACTATACATGAAGAGGTGACATTACAGTATATTTGGCGTTACAGAATTTGGGTATTTTTGGTTAATTATTATCCTTGCTCTCAAAGAGATTATTGTTGATAAATTTTGGGGACAAAATATATGTACTATGTGTATGTACAAAATAGCTCATCTGCCCTGGCTGGTGTGCCTCAATCAGCTGGCACTCAATCAGTACTGTGAGTGCCAGCCTGTTGGCCAGAAGTCTGCCGGTTAAATTCTGTTATAAGGGCACATGCCTGGGTGCGGGCCAGGTCCACTGTTGAGGGTGTGCAAGAGGAAACCGATCAATGTCTCTCTTGCACATTGGCATTTCTCCCCCTCTATTTCTCCTTCCCTTCACTCTTCCTAAAAAAATAAGTAAATAAAATCTTTTTTAAAAAGTAGATGAAGAAATTTATGTTAACCATTGCTATCATCTGAATGTTTTCAACCCTCCAAAATTCATGTTAAATCCTAATCCCCTAAGGTAATGGTATTATTACCACCAAAGGTGGGACCTTTGGGAGGTGATTAGGTCATAAGGAGAGAGCCCTCATGAATTAGATTAGTGCCCTTAAAAGAGATCCCACAGAGCTCCCTGGGCCCTTCCACAATGTGAAGACACAACCAAGAAGGCACCAGGTATGAACCAGGAAGAGGGCCCTCACCAGAAAGGAACCATACTCATGCCTTGATCTAGGACTTCCTAGCCTCCAGAACTGTGAACAATAAACTGCTGCTGTTGTAAGATACCCAGTCTATGAGGAAGATGGCGATGAAGTAGGTAGGAAACAAGCTCACTTGCTCTGGCACCCAACTCAAGACACTTGGCTGATCTTCCAAAAAACAAAATGAATAGCCAACAGAATCTTTGCTGACACAAGGTTTTGAAGCCAGAGTATAGAGGATCCTTCAAATAGGCAGTAAGGAGGTTTTCTAGGTGGAGGAAGAAAGTCTCCAGGAATGGGGCCACTACCAGCTGCTGAGGTTCCAGCATTTGTGGATAGCCCAAGCAGATAGAGCAGCCTAAGTGGCTCCATACCCGCCAGGGCAGAAATCCCCGAATCTCTCTAGATCAACTTAGATACACAAAATCACCAGGGAGAAAAAGGCTATTACACACAGCCACAGCACACCCTAGCTGTGGCTGTGGAGGCATACTTGGACAGTACCAGAGAGTGGGAGCAATACTGTCTGCACCTAGAGCTGGAGAATGAAACAGGGCTGTGACTGCCTGTGGCTGAGATAGACTCTTGACTTACTGGAGAGGTGGAGTATATGGGAAGCCCAACAGTGGCTCAGTGCTGCAGTGTGAGCACCCAGAGACTTTTTTTAAAAAGGCAAGCTAAGGCATTCTGAGCAGGAACTCCCACGCAGCAGCCCAACAAAAAAGAAGAAAAAATTGTGGGTGAGATTTGCTCCCACTCAGTGCACCTGGCGGACTGATCAAAGGGATGCAAAGATAGGTGGATTCTTGGACCCCAGTCCGCACAGTGGAGCAGAGTGGGGAGTGCAGGCCAGAGTGCAGTGAGGGCACTGGGCTGGGAACTGTGCACCTGTGATTATTGAAGGCCAGAGTGGGCCCCCTTTCTTGGCAGAACCACCAGGAAGGGAAAATTGAGCCCAACCCCCACCCCACGACCCGCAGGCACATGGAGGATCTGCAGAATTGACTGCACAGGTTTAACAACCTGCAGTGGGCATTTCCATAAGAGTAAGACAAGATGAAGGTCTAAAAGGGTCCATTTTGAACTCCCCACAGGGAGATAAAGTACACTGGGTCCTTGGGCCCTATTTCACTGAGGCCATCAAAGGCAAGAAATTCAGAAGGTGAGCAGCAAGAGGGATCTGGAGCACTGCCCAGCCTCAGTCTGCACATAGAGCTGAAGTCTACATCAAGCAAGAAAGATCTGACATTCTTACATAGATTGTCCCTCCCCACAACTACCCTGTGAAACGGGCAGCTATTTAATCAGAAACTACTTATTATTAGAAATAAACTAGGACAGACTAAGACGAGAGGTATAGGGGCAGAGGCAATGTACCAACAATTTTCCCAGAAGACTGAACAGTGCTTTGGCAGGGAGACAGAGAAGACTCAAACTCTTGAACACAACAGAAGCTCTCTCTAGAGGCAGGGGAAGGAGATACAGGCAGTGTTGCCAGAAGTTGGACTACTCTACCCTAGGACCTTGAGCTGATAAAAACCATAGAGATACAGAAATAAGTCAGAAAGTGAACACCAACAACTGAGACGAATTTCACCTCACTCTTCCTCAGAACTTATGTGTCTATTTGCTTCTTTCTTTCTTCATGCCTTTCCTTTTCTTTCTTTCTCTCTTTCCTCCCTCCTTTCCCTCCTTCCTTTTTTTCTTTATCTCCTTTCCCTTCCTCCCTCCCTTCTTTTTTCTTTTCTCTTTCATATAGCCTTTTAATACTTCTCCTTTTACTTGATGCATATTCCAACAACATTACTATTCTTGGTCTTTTGCTTTTTATTATTTTTATTCACACTATATTTTACCATATTATTGTTATTCTAAATCCCACATAGCACCCTTCCCTGGTCTTACTCCATTTTGCCATTTTCTGACCTTCCTTATAATTGTTATAAACTTTATTTTCTCCCATGCTATGCCACATTCCTATTTCTTATTCTTACTATTTCTCCACCATATATCCTTGCAAAAGCATTCATCCTTCCTTATGTCAGGTCACATTGTTTTTCCCCCTCTCACAATAGTCTTATTTCCTTTCCACCTTTATAAATTGGGGCTAGTTGGGCAAGGATATCATGGTTATTGCTGTTCTTCTCTAACATAACTCCTATTTGTTCACTATTTGTTTGTACTTTAAATCCCATAGGATACTGTCCCCTGTCTCACTCCATTTTGCCTTTCCCCTGCCCTTGATTAATTAAGTTAGCAATTTTATTTTAATTTTTTTCCTTTTCTTAGCCTGGGCTAAACTCCTTACTCTTAGTGTTCTTCTCCCCTATCCTCTCAAAATCATTTTGCTTTACAGTAGGCATCTCATATTCACCTTTCTCTTTTATACAATATTCTTACTCCCTTTCTACCACTATCAATCTTTACTCAGTTGTCATTGTTATTGGTTGTGCTTGGTTTTTCTCCAATTTTGTTCCTATTGGTTCAATACCTTTTTAATTTTACTTCAAACCTCATAGTTTACTCTTCCCATTTTTTACTCAACTTTTGCCATCACCCCTCTGTGTATTACTTACATTTTAAAGTTTGTTCTCACCCTTTCTTCATCTTGTTTCTATTCCCTGCTCTCATAATTTCTCATCCTGCTCAAAGTATTTCTCCCTCCTTTAGTCATTTTATAAACCCTTTTTCTATCTGATAATATTCTTAACCTCTCTCCACCTTATTAACCTTTGCTCAATTGTTGTTGATACTGAGGATGTGGAAGGGGGCTTTTCAACTGGTATGGGTTTGTTTTTCTGGTAGTATTGCTTTGTTAACCAATACCTGTACAACAGCATACAAGATGCCATGTGAGTGGTGACTACCAGTAAGCCAGCTGAAGGGAGAACACCAATAAGCCACCAACAAGCAAAGCCCAATACAATAAGAGAGTCCACACAAACTGAATATAGGGTAACCCCAGAGCATTCAAATAAGGAGATCAAAGAGACTGCACCCCTGAGCCCCACAGAACTCCTACCATATAAGGCCATCCCACAAAAACAGTCAGGCAAAGCAGAGCATCCTGAGATACAGACACAAACAAGAAGAGTCACCTAAAATGGGGAGATGAAGAAAGAAGCCCCAAATGAAAAGAATGAAGGAATCCCCAGAAAAAGAGCTAAACAAAATTGAGGCAAGCAATCTATCAGACATAGAATTTTAAAAAATGGTTATAAGGATGCTCAAGAAACTCAGCAACAACTTTAAAGAACTGAGTGGGAGCTAGAAGAAACTCAGTGGGAACTACAAGAAACTTAGTGGGAACTGTAGCAGCATGAAAAAGGATCGAGGAACTAAAAACAAGAACCGGGAAGAAATGATTAATACAATATCTGAAGTAAAAAATACACCAGAAGGAATTACAAGTAGGCTAGATGAAACAGAGAGACAAATCAGCAAGCTGGAGGACAAGGTAGATAGAAATACCCAGGAAGAGCAGCAAAATGAAAAAAGACAAAAAAGTATGAGGAGAGTTTAAGGGAACTTCAGGACAACATGAAATGTCACAACATTTGCATCACAGGAATACCAGAAGGAGAAGAAAAGGAGCAATGGATAGAAAATCTGTTTGAAAAAACAATTGACAGAAAACTTCCCTAACTTGGTGAGAGGGAAACTCATGAAGTTCAGGAAGCATGGAGGGTCCCAAACAGGATGAACGCAAAGAGGCCTACTCCAAGATGCATCATAATAAAAATGTCAAATGTTGAAGACAAAGGGAGAATTTTAAAGGCAGCAAGGGAGAAACTGATAGGAACATACAAGAGAGCTCCCATTAGGCTAGCAGCTGACTTCTCAACAGAAACATTACAAGCCAGAAGGGAATGGCAAGAAATATTTCCAGTAATGAAAACCAAAGGCCTGCAACTAAGACTACTCTATACAACAAGGCTCTCAATTAAAATGGAAGGCCAAATAAGGAGCTTCCAAGACAAAAGAAGGCTGAAAGAGTACTCCTCCCCAAACC